GAGTTAGCTTCGAGCATTCATTAGCATAGCCTGGGCCTTTGACATACTGCACTGGTGATTTATGCTTGTGAATATTCATTGTGCTAAATCCAGTGGCTTTTCTGCTCACTCTTGCTTTTTTAGAGGGTACCACGCAAGATACAAAGTCTGCTTAGAACCCAGAACCAGCTGCCTGGGGTAGAAGTTGGCTGCATTTGAATCTCTTTGCATGCATGACAGCAAAGTACCTGCAGTGCAGGTGCAGGGAAGACTAGATAAAAGAAAAGGCAGTAGGATAGTCCCCTGAGTTCACTGTGTGTTTGTTAATACTGGTCATGTTGTTAATACTGCTCAGCTTCCACCATCCTGAGAGTGTCATGAGAGGGCAAGTAGGGGAAATGCAGATCAAGTCTGAAAAACATGAGGGAATCACGAAAGGGAAAAAGACAGTCCGTGAAAGAACAGGCAGGGGTAAGAGAAAATGCTTCCAGAACCAGAGGCAAAGATACTTGAATGAAAAGTGGGAATGAGATGCCACAAGATTAATTTTACTCTGTATGTACAGTGATCAGAGTCTGAAACTCTGAAATAGTGTTTCTGCTTCTGGCATAACTTGGCTCTGTGACCTTGAGAAAGCCTGGTTCCCTAAGGGTGCTCTGAGAAACCCTGTTAGTTTTGCCTTTTGAGCGAGGCTGTGGTAGGATAATAGGAGGGAAGAATTTTATATTACTTAGGGAAGGAAATGACAGACTAAGTGACCTCCATCTGCAAAAAGTTACATCAATGTCTACACAGAATTTGATACCTATTTTTTGTCTCTAAGACATACTGCAGCATGCTGAAGTATCTTTGTTTCAGCTGATAAACTTGTTGATAGTATCTGTGAACTTTTATTGAGCATCTTATCTGCAAAGTATCTTCATATCTGCTGGGAAATATTTACAATATTAACTGAATGTATGCAACTGAACAAATGAAAGTGTTTAATGAATACAAAGGTGAGGTGTGTATATTGATGTTTTTCTGCAGAAATCACTGAGTGATGTATCTTGGGAGGAGAGACAAGGGAGATGAGAAGCCTGCACAACTGCTCATCACCTTGCCTCTGATTAGTAATCAGTGAGAACCTTTTTTAAAAAATACAGATTTATTATTTATTTTGATAGGGTTGATCTGTTATCTTTCTTTTTGTACAAAAAGCTTTGTAAAGTTCTGCTTTCTATGCTAAAGCTGGAAACTTCAAATGCAAATGTAACACTTCTCATGTTAACTTACTGCCATTTTATTGATAAGAAATACTGAGTGCTTATTAAACTCATCAAGTACAGATGTTGCCTGCTTCCATCACTATTGAAGTGAAAAGGTTATTTTTTCAGACCTTTTAGAAGCAAACACTGTGCAGATTGCCAAGGTACTGCCAGAGAACTCATGGGGTGTTCAAGGCGAAGCAAGAGGTAGCTGAAGCAAATCTCTTGAGGATGAGGAAGGGAGTACTTGGTCTCAGAAGTAACAGCATGGTATCTTCTGTGCTGCATGTGTGCAAAATCTATGTGCTTATGGAATGCCATCTTCATTCCACTGAAGTCAAGAGTCTTGTCTTTGAACAATTTGGGTTAGGATTTTAGAATTTCTGTGGTTGTTTTTTTGGTATTTTTTTGTTCTTAGTGAATGCAAATCGACACGGGTAAACATACATTCTTTAGCAATCTTAACTGCTTAGTTGGGAAGGGATTTGCTGTTTCTCATTTTGATTTCTAATTTTACACATGTACTCTTTGTTAACTAGTACCTGTGAGTGCTGTCAAAAATACATAATTAATTAATTAATCTGGAAAGCTCTTTCTTTTTTGATGCATTTTGATTAAAAAATGCTTAACCTTAAAATATTGGATTCTGGATGCTCCAATACAGTACTTGATGACTTCTTTCCTTTCCTGTAGTCAAATCTTGACAGAAAAAAATGGCAATAGTCTGTGCATTTCTACTTGTCATTTTCCCTTAATAGAAAGAGCCATAAAAGAGGAGCATTTATAGTTTTTCAGATGACACATTCACAGGGAAAATAGATTTATTTTAAAATCAAACAAAATGAACTATATTTATTGTTTTAGTGACAAAAATTGAGGTCAACCCCTGAATTTTTTTTTTCAGTCAGACCCTGGATATAGACAAATGGCTGGCATGATATAAAAGAGGGTGTTGTGGAAAGGCCATCATTGGAAATATACCTATATCTTAGTGAACAGTCTACCACAGAGTATTTGGAGGTATTGGGATATATGGGAGACAGTCATGAAAATCCCCTGGATCGGGAATGATTACATTGGGATCCGGGGTCAGAGGAAGAAATTGAAGTGGGGAAACTGAGCCTGTGTGTAGTGGGAAGCATTGTACTTTCAGCCACTGTAACCAAAATTACTGTATTTCAAAATAATAAGTCATGTACGAAAACAGTTTTAATTTGACAATTCTTTGTGCTCTTCTGAAACTCTAATGTTATTACTGGGGTTACTATTTTAAAAAAATCAACAAAATAACAACAAAACTCTTAAAAATTCTTCTTCGTGATGTTTAAGATATTGATAAAAAAAGAACAATTTCTTCACTATTTATCAATGATTGTTTTAAAGTGAATCAAATAAATGATTTTTTTTGCCAGCTTTTCCCTACCATATTGTTGGTAGGTTTGCCAGCTTGTTTACTGGATACTTGAAAAATCATGTTTGATGTGTGTTTTGAAAATATTTTTCCCTTTAGACTAGAATTCTGATGATGGATACAGTTTAAAAATGTACAGAATTGGAGAGCTAAGTTTTTGTTCTTTGTTTTTCTTCTCCATTTTTACAGTTTCCTCTTTTAAGAAAAATTTCCGACTGACCAATTAAAAAACCATCAACAACAACAAAAAAAAAACACTAACAAGCAAACAAAACAAAAACCCCAACGTACGGTTTCCGTGGGGAAGTTCAGTCTAAACAAGTACACAGTAATAAATATTAGCAGAAATTATTTATTAGACAACCTTTAGTTAGGAAAGCTTCTTAACACTTAAAGTCAGTGGGATTAAAATGTGCTTACTTGAAGCACTTCCCAAGGGCTTTTCTCATTTGTGTTTCACTTGCTCAGAGAACTTCAGGTTCACATCCTTTTTTTTAGGTGCAGTGGCTATTTGAGAAAAATTAAAGCATTCCTAAAGCAAGTGAATGCATTGGAATGGTGTTTTAAGAATGAAGTGCTTGCTTACTGCTTTCAGAGTCTTTGAAATCTTTTATTTCTGGCTCATTTCCAATATGGAAGGAGTTTGTTTTCAGAGAAATATTGTTGCCAAGGGACAGATGTTGACTGTGTTGTGTTTAAAGCAGACTGATATTAATTACATTCTTTTAGCTATTCTACTTCTCTGGATAACTTTAAAAGGTCCTTCCAATTTCCAGAGTACTTAGGTAAGCTCTCAGAACATGAACACAGTGTCTCGGCATTTACGTGAAAAATGTATCAGAGAACTGGCAAGAGCTGAACTTATTTTTGTGCACAGTTGGGAAATGCTGTTTTCAGATGATTACACTAATTAATAACATGGAACAGCTTTAGCGAATTTAGTGAATGCTGTGATTTCCCTCCCTTTCCTCTTTTGCCTTTCAAGTATTTATCTGAGCCAGTTGTCAAACAACCTGCGTGGAGCACTACTTACTGCATTTTACCAGAGGAATGGGGTAATTTTTTTCTGTGATTGAGGCAGCATGATCTGGAGCAATGTCAGCCTTTGGGGTTTCCCAGTTTCCCACTGATAAGGCAAAGTTAATGTTTTGTGTTTGGAGTTTTGATTCTTTCAAGGATCCATCTGAGTAACTTAACTTGCCTTGTCTACAGTTTTATGCCAGCTTACTTGAGCTGGCCTAGTGCTGGTGGTCCCAGTGACAGGACTGTCACTGCCCCACCAGAACCTGCAGACAGTGTTGGTTTGGTTGTTTTGGGTTTTTTTCAATTAGCTCCTGAAGACTGAACCCAGCTCGTGTTTCTTAGTCCTCTGCCTATTTCAGTGGTTTAGATAATTTTGTTCTGTACTTGGTAAAATGTCAGTTTCCAAGTATTTTTGCTTAATACTCAGTACTTGAAGAAACACTGGGTCAAGAGAACATAATGCATGTAACAGCTGTGCAGAGCCCACCTTAGGGAGCCAACCCAGTAGCCTTAACCTGCTTCTGCAGGAGCACTAGAGGGGAGTAAAATAAGCTCAGCCAAAGCGGGTGAATTTTCCCCCCAGCCCTTTTCTCAGCCTTCCATGTCTCTGCAGAGTTGTTTTGTCTGCCTTCTCATCCCTCCCTCAGTGGGATGAGTTCCGTGTGTCCTTTGAGTTTCTGGTAGAAGAGCTCCAGCGAGGTTCTGTGGGGCTGAACTCCAGCCCTGCTGGCTCCCAGCCCTGACTGCTGACCAGTGATCCATCCTCCTTGGAGCTACCTGGAGACAGCCCAACAGCTTAGGCTCAACTTCTGAAACCTTCCTGGGAAGCTGTAGGCCTGCTGGATGTGGATGAAGGCTGCTTTAGTGCTCAAAATCATGTTTTAACAAAAGGTTACATACTTGTTCCCAGCTACATGCTGTCAGTAGAGGCATGTGTTTCTTCCTTCCATTCAGACTATGGAAGCTGACCTTCCTATTCAATATAAAAGCTCTCTTTTTTTCAGTTGCCAGTCATGATCCCTATCACTCATTAGTCTCTCTCTGCTTCCCTCAAAACTTGCCTTAGATAAAAACATTAGCCTAATTCTCCAGACCTAGTTATTTAAAAAACCTAAATGTTACTCATCTCAGTTGTCCCTGAAGAGATGATCCTTATATTCAGGAGTTGATGTTGACTCACAAAAGATTAATGTACATTTACAGTGAAGTTGTCCAAGTTGTGTTAACAAATTGGCACAAATTCCATTTGTGGGTTACTGGGTAACATAAAACTGCCTACATAAAGCTATAGCACCTCATTAGCATTCTGTTCAAATAGCTTTTTGTCTTTATTCGTTTAGGCCATTTCGACAGAAATATCTGAGTACTCCTCCGATAATGACAGCGAGGGAGAAGGAGAGGCGACCCTGGCAACCACTGCTCCGGGATCCAGTAAGGGATTACAGCCAGGGTCAGGAGGGGACACGGGGGATGTCACAGCACGGCCGGCCAGCGAGTGGCTGAGGTCAGCACAGGCCCTTCTCCGCACCCCGGGGAAGCAGGTGGGAAAGACCCCCAGAGCCCCCGCCGAGTCTGCCAAGAAGAGGAAGCTACTGAGGTAAATAAGCTGTCCACCTTAAGGAATTCTTTTTGGTTGTTTATTCTTAAATTATAAGTAAAACAATACCTGCCAACGTGTTGGAGTGTGTTTCAAGGGTAAACATTTTAGAGATGCAATACGAAAAACTTACAGAATGTCATTTATCTATAAACAAGCAAAAAAGGCAAGAAATAATAAATCTAAAATCTCTGGTGAAAGCTCTCAATCTTGAACCAAGTGATTGGTTTTTGCACTTCCAAAATGCCTTACAGATGTGTGAGCAGACATACTTCTATTCTAGCTTCTAATCATTTCATTGCTTTATGCCTCTCAAAAAAGTCTGCAAAAATGCTGTACCTCAGGTTTTAGGATTTTTTTTTGTCCTCTCCAGATTTGTCAGTGCAAAATTATCCAAAATAATGTAGGAAAGAGTGGATAAACAATAGTTCTGAAGAGCATAGGACAGAGCGTTATGTAGGCAGTGGGAGGATGTATTCCTAAGGTGAAATTTCAATGTCTGTGACTAAGTTAAATACATTAGAAAAATATGTAACTGCTGAAAGAAAGTAGCCTGAGATGGAGCAGTTGAAACCTGATGTTCTAGCTAATTACACTGCAGAAATGGTCACTTCCTATATTGAATTAATGAAAGTTATGTTAACTTAAATGGTGTATGTAAAGATGTGCCTCAAGCTGTGGAGACCACAATTACAAATGGTGCTGCTCTACATCCCTATTGTTGTTTTAACAATGTGCTTCTCTTACAGCTGAATTTATGTACAGTAATCAATCAATTACTTAAAAATTAAATATTCACTTAATAGGCATACCTTATTTTTCTCTGAAATATTCTTGGCTATTTCAAAATGCTCTCTGAGGAAACAGGTTTGGAAGTCCTAATTACTGAGGATGTCTATACTTAAAAGTGCTTTGCTTGTGCAATCAAGCTTTATTTCTTGTCACTTTAGAAAACATGCATACACAGCTGTATTAGGTCAGACCAAAGCTGTAACCCCCAAAAATGCCTTATAGTGGCCAAAAGCAAGTATGTGTGAATGTAATAAAAACAAGACAAGTGTACAGTGGTATTTTGCCCAGGTGCTCTTCCAGCTTTAAGCAATTCCTGAGCTGTTTGTTACCATTAGTGGGTTTGTCTTTTTCTAAATTCCAGCTTCATTTTATGACCTTTACTATCAACAGTCTAAATGAAAAAAATGTTTCATGGGAAAGATACTCTGACACAAGTGTATAAGAGAATAGATTGCTTTGAAAACAAACAAAACAGCAAGACCAAACAATCCACAATTATATAGAATGTAATCTGTCTGGAGTGGCCAGAGGAACAGAGCTTACAGGGTTTTTTACCTTCCATCCTGTGGTTCCACTTTGGATTCCTTTGGGAACAGGGAAGCAGGCAGGAAATTCCTTAGTTATGAGTGTTGTTTGTCTAGTTATTTTGCTCATCCAGGTAATTGTCATCTTTTCACTCTTCCTGTTTAGGGCATTAATTCCATGTGTCTCTCCCATCCTTCCTTTTACTGCTGACAGAGTACATTTTCATTGGTGTGATAACATTGGATGTAGGTTTGCATCCTCAGTAGGAAATCCACAGGTTTTCAGTGCTGTGTATTGGAGGCCAGTTCAGTGAAAGGTTTGTCAGCTTCTTGATTGATCGAGTGACAATCCCTTCTTTGTGGTTGAATAGCTAAAAGCTATAAAGCAGTCGTGGCCTTGTCATTTCTCCTTCCTTCCTACCTCTGCTGCAGATCAAGGCCACCGCAGAAAGAGCAGTGAACAGGGGAATCACCCTGAAGCTGGATCTGGCCGTGAGCTCCCAGGCAGATGGACCATTTGGAACTGCTCAGTAGGTGGAAGAGAGCCACAAGTCTCTGCTTAGCTGGGCTCTCTTTCTCCAGGCCAGTGCCTAGGGAAGCATGGGCTGAGCAGAGGTGGTGCAGGTGTAGAGCTGCCATCTTCCTGTGGGAATTCCTCTGCAGTAGGTTCAACTCCAAATCCAGACTGTGTTTTGTATGCCTCTTTCGTGGAGGAGTCCTTATGTAGGTAGAGTAGGTCTCCTCCCATTTTGTTTCCCCTTTAAAGAAAATAGGAAATATTTCTATTTTTACATCTCTTTGCTATTTGACATGCATAAATCTGTCTTCAAAAGTATATTCAAAATCTTGCTTCAAAAGTAGAATATTTTCAAGAAATTTTAGCTTATATTTTCTGTAGACATCTTAGTCATTCTGCAATTTGCATTTTTATTTGCATTGCCTGATTGGAGCTATGCCTCTGTTACATCAATGGGTACATTTTTCTGTGCAACTTCAAAGAAACCCCCCTAAAATATCCCCTCTAAACCCCCAAATCCCAAGCAAAATGAAACCAAACAAAGAAAAGAATCTTAACAGTCTCTGGAAAAATTCAGATAAATTCCTTTCTACTGTCCTCTCTTCCTGGAAACCTCCTGGTGCTGAAATGGAAATGGGTGGTTGCCTGGATGAGAGAAAAGAGTATTGTTTATTTGACCCTATTACAGATGCAGTTGTCATACACCAAAAAAACTGAGATGCAACCAAAGCAACAGAAATCTTCAGATGTAAGCTAATTGTGGATGATTAAAATAAATTTTTATGATCCTAGCATTGGAAATTTGACTGTAAATTCAACACCCTTGACTGTAAATAAAAGGAGAAGCCCATCTATGTCCCCAAATCAACATGCACAATATACAGTGCTGCTGCTGATGAACCAGATTTGAAGGGGCATGTTGCAATTCTCCTCTGTTAGGGGTTAAGTAGGGTTTTGGAAAACAATTGATGTCTGAAGACAAGAATGATGTGGTGAAAGCAATTTCTCCCCCACCATATCTACTGCCAGATTCTCTTATGTTTTCTTGTATCCCTGTAATGTTAGTTTTTGTTTTCAAAAGTGTCCTAAGTAAAGATTATTCTTCTTTCTGCCATGGTCCCTAGGGGAGAGCAGGCAGTCTGAAGGTGAGGCTTGTCCTTCAGGGGTGTTGGTGGTTCTGAAGAGCTGTGCTGTAGGAGATGCCAGTTTGTCACACTGGAACCAAAGCAGATCATCTCTTGCTCACAGCCATCAATGGCACTGCTCGGGACATCCTCCCCTTAAACACTGGTATTATATGGCTGTGTAGTTGCCCTCCTCTATTTAACAAGACTGTTGATGGATGCAGTGGGAATACATAAATTTCCCAGGCGCACTGCCAGATCCATGGCCTTGGACTGCACCTGTGAGCTACTTAGTGAGTTGAGAATTAGGTGCTGCTAATGGTACCTGGTACTGAGATGAAGAGCCATGGTGATCAGGTCAAGAGGAGTTTGGTTTGCATGCTCCTGCCCTTTTGCCATCCCAAAGCTTCAGTTTCTCGTCTTGAGTCAGCACTTCATGGGAAAATTATGGAAATTATTTGTAAACCTGAAAGTAGGGAGTGCATATTGCAAAGACCAGTTTTCAAGAAGGTCTTCTTGTTACATTTTAAATCCATGTTAATGCTATGGGAAATGTCTAAACTGTTTTAGTTCCAATTCTTTCAAAGTTTCTGTGTGAAAGAACAGAGAAATGTAAATTATTGCAAGTTTTAACATTTATTACACGGATTAAATAAATAACTGCGTTGATTCAGTATTTGTAGAGAAGAAAACTCAAAATGCATGTACTCAGTTTCTCTTGTCTGCAAGTAAACCTTTCTTAAATGTTTTCTGAATTGTTTACTTTTTCCATTAAGATTTTATTTCCATCAGAAAAAAAAGTCTGAGGTTATTGTAGGAAATAAATATCTGAAGTTATAAAATGTTAACTCTGCATCTAAATCTGTCATGTTGCAAGAGCATATAGTTGTGAAGAATAAGCTTTTTGTTTGGTTTTTTAAATACTTGAGTGGCTGTTTTTAGTTCAATAGAAACAGGATTTCCCAAGATTTTATTTTAAATTATCTTATATCTGCCGGTATGCAGACCACATACAAATCTGATCAGCTAAAATTAACTTTCGTTATCAAAAGAGGAGAAAATTACAGAATGTCCTGGTACTATGTGCAGTAAAATGAAACCCAGTTGTCACATGAGGCCAATTGAGGTCTTGAAAATAAAGGAAATTGCCAAGGGAAGAGGGAGCTGGCACAAATGAAGCAGACTTTTACTCTAAAATTGGGACTGTTCCTTCTTACATGCATCCACAAGTGGCATGAGGGTGTAACAACAACAGACTAGCCATTTGGACAGTCATGTTCTTATGCTAATTTTAACTATTTCTGTAATTATTTAACTTTGCTAGTGAATTTCTTGTTGGATTAGGAAAATATAAATGAAAGAATATCATGCAGTACAGATGTACCACTTGTCATCACCATCAGTGTACACAGTAAAATTTTTTTGCCCTTAGAGAAAGCTAAAATGTATTTTCTCTTTTAGAAAGTGTGGGTGGTTTCACTGGGCCAAATGTTTGGTGCTAATGGGGAAAGAAAGTGCCATGTTTGTCATTGGTCACAGCCAGCACAGCTTCATGGGGGAGAAGTCCTGCTTGTAAAACCCTTCTGTGACAGGCTAGCCCACCTAACTGATCTAGGAAAGCCAATAGATGTGATATTTTTGTACTTCAAAAGCAAAACTTTTGGTACTGTCTCTCACATTACCCTCCAGACCAAATGTCCAGCACACAGCTGGATAACCATGCTCAGTGGTGGGTGAGCAGCTGGCTCACAGGTTGGGCACAAAGGGTACAGTGGATGGGGTGACATCAGGCTGGGTCTGGTCACTAGTGGGGCTCTGCAGGGCTCCATCCTTGACCCAGTTCTCTTCAACATCTTCATTAACCACTGAGATGCAGTACTCAAAGGATAGTAAGTGAGTTTCCTAGTGGCACTAAATTAGGGAGTGCTGTCAACTCTCTTGAGGGCAAAGAGGCCCTGCAGAGAGACCTCGACAAATGAGAGCACTGGGCAATCACCAACTGCCCGAAGTTTACCAAGGGCAAGTGCCAGATTCTGCACCTGGGACGGGGCAATCCTGGTTCTGTACAGACTGGGGAATGACTTGCTGGAAGGCAGGGCTGCAGAAAGGGACCTGGGGGTCCTGTTCACTGGCAATTTGAACATGAGTCAGTGGGGCCTTTTTTACTTCTTTAGCAAGTGCCCCATGGAGTGGAAAGGATCCAAAGGAACAGCTGAGTGTCAGTTACTTTACCAGTTAATGCGAAAGTAGGAGAGAAGATGGAAATTGTCCAATCTTGAGATGGGGATATATATGTGCTTTGAATTATATGGAGTCCTTGTGTATACTGTGTACAAGGAGACAACTCAGTAAAGAGTGTTGAGTTCAAGTTAAGTCTGTAAAGGAGTAAACTTGGATAAATAGGGGGTCATTTTTTGGTAAGTGCCCTGCTGAATGAAAACCTTACTAAATAAACACAAGGAGATCTCTAACACTTCAGAAAGATTGAAAATTACTTTTCAAAGCACAGCAGACTCACTAATGCTCTTTTGTTGTTGCTTTCTATTAACCTCTTTGGAGCTGGGAAATAGGAACCAGCCTGGAAGTCACAGATCAGGCTCAGTATTACTTTTTGGTCATAGCTGTCACAAAACTCCTCAGTCTTGCTATTAAATTTTATGGGTAGGGCAACTACCAGAACCTGAGCTGTTGTACAGGATGCTGAGCTTTCTTATGGTCATCAAAGCTGTTTTTCATGTGGATATTGTTGGACATAGACAGTAAAGGCAATGTGTTGTTTTAAATAGAGTATTTCAACAAGCTCAGATTTAGTATGGAAATAGGACATGAATTGCTGCTTTTAAATCTGTCTGACTTCAGGGAATTAAAGGAACAAAATAGTTGTACTGGAAGTTTTGTGATTAAAAATAAGCAGGTTGTGGACTTCAGGGAATTAAAGGAACAAAATAGTTGTACTGGAAGACAGGTTGTAGGCAGTGGAGATTGTATCTGAGCAGCTTGATTTCACCAAACAGCCTTTGCATTAACAATTTGCCAAATGTGTTCAATTTGCTCGTATTAAAACATTTAGGGGGCAAGTTTGAAGTGCTGGTCAGGAAAGTGTACATCCTAAACTAGTTTTTATTATTTCAATAAAATAGTTTGTCAATTCCCTTGGTTACAGAATTGATACTGTAGTAATCAAAATATATTTGCCAATTACCCCCCAGAAGCTGGCTTACCTCTTACTGCCCAGCCAGGAGTGACTCTGACTCTGTATAGTTCACAGTATGACACAGTCCATGCACGAGTGTTTTACAGTGCGGGCACCTGTACTGTTTTGGAAGGAATGAGTAGTTTTCAAATGCTGTTGTCAGCAAATCTGTTACTTTGTGTACCAGAAATCACCTTTTCCTTTGTTTTATGTGTTTGAGCTACAAAGGGGGTTGACCTGCTGGGTTGCAGTGGTGTTTAACCTCCTTTGTTTCTACCTTTTTAAAAGAAACAAACCATAAAGTACCAACTGTTGCTCTGGCCATACAAAGTCTTTTTGTTCATGGCATGTCCTTGAACTGTGTTTTCTAATTTCATGAGCTATGAAACAGTATAAAAACAACATTTCTGATGACCAGCTGAGAGCCTCTCATAAATGCATTCTTAGTTATATTTTATGTTCTGCAACCAAGCAGATGCAAAATGCTTTATGGTGTTTTCTGTTTAAGCTATTTTTAACCACATTTGGAATGTGAGTGGAAGGATGATGGTTAATAAATATCAGTGCACTTAGCACAGAGGGCTACTAAGGAAAGTCAGAGTTTTATTTTTCATGGACCTTTGTGATAACTGGTATTCTAATGCAGTCATGGTCAGCAAATTAGTAATGAAATTGTGAGCATCATTGGAACCTTCTTGGTAGTCATATCAGGCCTAAAACAGGAATGATGTCTTGCTGTTGAGTGGAGTAGCCATGGAATCAGAAACATGCTTTCTTTCCTTCATGCTACAAGGCATTCCTGCCATAGGTGTAACAGTAGTGGGCTTGCAGAAGAGTAGGAACTGATTGACTGGACACAACCATAGCTCTGTTCAGGGAAAAAGGGGAAAATTAAGCCAATAATAGCTGCTCTCTCCTGCTGGTACTTTAAGGCTTTCTTGCGATTTGAACAAATAAAATACATTCCTCTGACTGGCATCTGTGGAGGGAATGAAGTAGGAGAACACTCATGTTGAACAGTTTTCTTTCAGCAAAACAAGTGTTTGAGCTACTAACTGTGTAGTGTATTGCTCCAGGCCGACCACGTAGTGCAGATGCAGACTCACACATGCAAGACTTTTAAACAAGCAATCTGAAAATGCATTTTACTGCTGCATTTTTAAGCCTAGCTGAGCTGGCATCCACCAATTCCAGCATGGCTCATGTAGGCCACCAGCCAAGCTGAATTACAACTGCATCTGAGAATGGTTCCCTGAGAAGAGAAACTGGGTCTGTAGAGCTGTTTGCCCACAAGTGTTCTGGTGTGGTAGTGCTTCAGTGCTCAAGTTTGGGGGAAATGTAGATGATGAACACAGTGTTATCAGCAGAGTAGGTTATCCTGTATGAAGTTTTGTGCTTGGCTGTGCTGCTCTTGGAACCAAAGCTTCCATTGTACTTCTGTATTAGTTGCTAGTCTTAAAGTCCTTGCTGAAACCAGGATTAAACAAGGTTGTTAAGCTTACTTGGAACTTCAATGAAGCCCAGTATTTTCTTAGCATTTTTGTTTGTTTTCCTTCTTAATATAGCATTGTTCATAGCTTGTTAAGTCTGGGTTCTCTGTTTTGAGGCTTTGGGGATTTTCTTCCTCTGAGTTTCTTTTGTCTCTGCCTGACACTGGCCATAGAGATGTAGCAATGTAAACTGCCAAACTTCTATAGGTCATTTTGGCTTAAATAAGGCTTTGTAGTTCAGAGTTCATTCTGTGATCTACTATTTAGATGTTTAGCCACTGCATCTGAAAATTCTTCTGATGCTTATAATTTTGCAAAGGATACAGTTGTTAATTAAAAATTCAGCTGACACTGCTAACTACTTTTTATGTAATGTGTTGACTTGTCTGTAGATGAAATTGCTTAATAACTGGTAACCAAAAAGAGATTTTTTTTTTTTTTACAACTCACCTGAAGTCCTGCTTAGCCTCTTTAGCTCCTTCTCAGTTTCCGTATGTGTGTGTCTTCCCAGTTTCACATTTATTATCTGAGCCTTACCAAGCTATTTGTCTTTTTTAACTAAACCAAAAAATGTTCATCATGCACACAAACAGTCATAAGGTGGTTGTATGCTATCTCTGTTGATTCCTAAACCAGTTTAACTCAAGGACGCATTTCACCTTGGTAGAAATCCTTATTAATATTTTCGGTAGTACTTGTGGAGAAACTTTACACTGCAACAAAAGAATGAAGGTTTTTATGCAAATAACTTCTTTGAAGCCAAAGAAAAATGCTCAAACACTCCCACAGTAGTCCAGAGCTCTTTGTAGTAGCCCAAAGAGAGCTTCCAACACATACATCTTCTTGTTCTTAAAAGTGAGAAATTATATCTTCTGGCTTTGAATCCGAGGGTAGGAATTGCTTTAGTGTTACCTTAAGTGTATTTGTGCTAGATGCCACTCCTCTGCTCCTCACCTTGGGAATGCTAAATTAATTTCATCTTGGAGAGTGTTCAGACCACTGAAACTGCACACTTGACCCAGCTTGTGAAATGAATCATAGGGTCAAGTATGGGTAAAAGAATATTTTTGTGATCACTCCTTGCCAACAGACAAACAAATCTGTGAGGGAAAAGAAAACCCAACCTGTTATAACTAGTGGTTACACTGGTTTGTTTTGAATTTGCAACTGTCTCTGGTTTCTAATAGGATCTGTTCATAAGTGCAAGGGAAAGTTAGAAACCATTTTTTACACTCCTCATACTGGAGACAGGACTGAAAACATGAAGAGTTTGAACACCCAGATACTGAAAACGTTTTGTTGTGTGTATTGACCCTAGGTGTGTGTTTTGTTGGGAGTTACTCCATGGGAAAACTCAAAATTTGGAGAACTAATCTACAAAACATGGTTTTACTGTATGATTCTGTTTCTAAGGGTCAAAGCATACATACATATATATACATATACATCTGTCCTGTGGCTTGTCATTTGGCCAACCAAATACTGATTCCTGGCAAAACTGAGCATTCCTTTATTCTCTGCAGAGGCGGGCTAGCTGAGAGGTTGTGTCGGCTCCAGAACAGAGAAAGATCTGCCATTAGCTTTTGGAGGCATCAGTGTCTTTCAGATGATAAAATCCCCTCAGGTAAGAAGCATAACACAATACCACTGTGAAAGTATTATACCTACATATATGTATCTATGGCCTATGTAGGGGGAAAAGTGAAGTTTATATTATTTGCTGGTCTTTCCTGACTTAGGTTTAATATTATAGTGATGGTCTTCTAAGCTAATAATTGCATTTCTGGTAAATATGAAGGTTCTAACAACTCAGTCATCATTTCAATGTATAAGGTAAAGGATATATTTTAAGTAGCCTCCATCTAAGTTCTTCACAGCTTCTTGATATCCAGCAACACATGGAAAAATAGTGTTTTCAGCAGATTGTAGGACAATTAAAGTTTTAATTTATGGGTGCTCAGATTTTTTTGGTGTTTTTTTTCCTTTCTTCATAATCAACCTTTCCTCTTGTTCTTTTTGCTATGTGATCACTTCTTGACAACAAATAGACAAATGGATAAGTGCTGAAATTGTAAGTGGCACTAAGTGTGACCAAAAAGTGCACAACTATGAAATGAGTGTGAAGCATAACTGCAGTGTGCACATCACTTAAAAGGAAACAGTGGTAGTCATGCAAATTAGTTACTGGTGACTGATAGCACCACCTTTCAGTAGTGCTTCTTGAGAGGTAATGGATTTATAGAGTTTAAGTATTAAGAAGTTTTTAATCAGCTTCTGTGTGTGTGACTATAGTCTACAAAATGCCAATAATTTATTCTGTATTAAGCCGACTGCTTATTTTTGAGCATATATTGACTTGCATTTATTTTTCAGAAAGTCTTCTGGTCTTAATTTGAAAACACATGGATAAGTGAATCTATCATTTACTTGGAGAGTTTGTCCCCAGTTCTACTCCCAAATTTTTAAAGGTGGTTTTTCTTCCAAATCTGAATTTGTCTGGCTTCAGTTTCCCTCTTTTGTTTCTTGTTTCTCCCTTAAAGCGCTCTTTAGTATGTGACATTTTCCCTTTCTGGCTCTTACATAGCAAAACCTCTGCTGCCTCCCAATTTTCATAAACTGAACAGACTGAGCTGTTTAAGGGTCTCTAAAGCATTGTTATCAGTGTTCAAGTGACTTTCGTGGTTTTTTACTGTACCTCTTGAACTTTACAGCAGGGTCTTAAGAACAAAGATAGCAATTCCATGTGTTCTTCATACAATACATAGCAATTCCATGTGTTTAGTCTCATTAAAATCATTGGCCAGGTCCAGTTCACTTCTCAGACTCCTGGATATTCAAGGCCTGTGATAAGTGTTTGAGTCTGGTTTGGCTTTGCTCACAGCACAGTGCTGGGACTTCACCTCAAACTGATTGTCCAATATGATTTTGTAACCTTTACAGCTGTTTTTTTTCTGATATGCTGTTTCCCACTCTCCAGCTACTCTTTCTGTTTCTTCTGCCTAAACACAGGGAAGCATTTGTGCTGTATCGTGGCTGATTTTACTTAAGTAGTGCAGCTAATGATGCAGTTCAGATCACTGTATAGCAAAAGCCTGTCCTCTTTTAGTCACAAATTTTCTTGAGTTTGTGGTATTCACACAGTTATGTCACTGATGAAACAATAGCATGAGTGTTTGCTTGTAAGTCCTGCTGGAACTGCTGTTACTCAGTTGTAATTCTCCAGTGGTAAAAAGCTCTAACTGTAATTCACAAAGTTAGCTCTCAGGATTTTAATTTTTTTTTTCATTCCACTCAAAGGGTACATTACTCATAGTGAAAATGGTTGATTTTTCATAAGAAGGTTGTATGATTTAAAGTTACACCCAAACTGTTGGCTAAAGCTTGGTCTCAGTTTCTCACTGGAGTTTTAGAGGGCTTACATCCCTTGGCCATTTGCATGCTGTGTGTTCAAAATGCCACCCATGTGGAATAGCACGTTGTATTTCTGAACTTAATTCCTTACTTATTTTTCCAGCCACTTTGCCTAGATCTGATGTCAGGCTAGCTGGTCTCCAGTTATTGTAAGCCACTTTGTTTGCCATTCCTGAATAGTACTACAATATCATTGTCCTTTCAGTCCTCTGGAATTTCACCAGTATCTGAATACATTCTAGAAAGTGACATCAGGGAACCAGAGATGTCTTTAGCCAGCTCTTTTCAAAAATGCTATGCTGAAAATTGTACAGGCATGCTTACTTAAAACCATGAGAGGTTACTTCATCATTCTTATATGGAGTGAGGCCATCCTCTCGCTGCTTCTCAAATATGGAACAGAAATAGATATTGAATAGGCTTGCCTTTTTTAATAAAATGAAAAAATTTAATGCACTTTGTAGTAACAGACCTCCAACATTGCTAGTATTCTTTTTGTCCTAGTTTCACATGTGTCATTACAAAACCTTGTGTTTGGCTGCTCACCATTTTGTTAGACCAACTTTTAGGCTGAAATATTCCATGCTAAACATCTGCCCCTGGCTGAATTCCTTTCTTTGATTTTTCTTCTTTCTTTCAGAAAATGAGTCAGAATTCGTTAGCATTTTATGAGAAAAAAGGCTATGGGAAAATACCTTGCTCTATTCTTAAGTACATTTAAAAAATTCTGATGAGTGTCTTTAAGATGATTTAGTTTTGGCAGAAGATGAACTGTTTCTGGGATATGCCTTTTCCATCATAAAAAAAAATGTACAAGAAGTCTTTAGGACAAACTACTGTTTCATTTACCCTGCAAGCATTTGCTACAATTTCTGAAAAATGCTGAACATGCCATAAATTTAGTAATACACTTCAATTCCACAGCTTCAATTTCACTTCCAATTCTCAATCCTTATTCCAAAATATAATGATTATAAAATAATCATTAAAATAGCTGTCATAGTATTTTGGGGATACTTTTTCATCTAGGGCAAAATTTATTTTTGATAGTTGTATTCTTAGAACAGCCATAATGTTTTGTAATACTAAAATGAAATTGGTGTTTGGTTTGGAGGACATCAGTTGGAATGGTTGAAATTTTAGTAATGTAACTAGATAACCTTCTCTTTGCTTGTAGTCAGGAATGTGAAGTGTCAGCACAGCAAATGCGTGCCACTTTCAGCTTTCATCTCTTTAGGTTCAAGTTAAGGCTGTCTCACTAATCTAAGAATCTTCTTGAATTTTGTTTCCCCTCTGTTTTGCCCAGTAGCATTTCTAAGCCACACTGTTTCCAGGACTGTTTCTGACTTAGGCACAGAATTAGAGGAAAGAACTTTTCAAATAACAAACTCATTTGAGTCACTAAAGAATCCTGAAGATTAATGTGGAGGATTGAAGTAACTTAGTTGCTGGGAGAGCTGTCACGTCATTTTGGATATCCCATAGACATGCAGACCAGAAGTTCATTGCTAAAGCAGCGGGGAGCAATTTCAAATGAGATTGGTTTGAAGTCCTCCTTACATATGAGATTTAAGGAAAAATGTTTCCAGAAGTTCCAGCTGTCACCCCCATTAGACATTTCAAATTGCAGAATTGTATGCCTTTATTTTGCTGTTGCTTACTTTTAGGTTGTATCCATGTCCATATTACTCAAAAAACCCCTAGTTTTTTGCTTTGTTTTTTTTTTTTTTTTTTTTAAATCCTGTCTGTTACCTCCCTGACCCCTTTCTGTAAGTAACCATTGTGGTTTGGCTGCCTCTTGGTCACTGGGATGAATCACTGCCCAGAAGAGAGCACCTCCTTTCAGAGAGCACGCACTTTCTGGTGTTTATGCAGTGCACAGGGTCTCACTTTGGCTGACTCATTCTGCAGGGTAGAAGAAGCCTTAGTGCTTTCTCAGATTTTGACAGTTTTGGGCTACAGTCACATTCTAGAGCTGGTCCCTGTGTTGGGATAGGCACTCACTAAGGATATGGGATTTCTGTAAGGTGAATCCCACTTCTTTAAATCAAGGTAGCCTTGCAGAGGCCTGCAGGGAGGAAATACCAGAGTTTGCCCGTGCTACACAGCATTGGTTGGATGCTTTCTGTGGTTCAGCTCTAACAGAGGTGAATGTCAGGCTCTGCCACAAATCCAAAATTTTCTGTTCTTCACAAGATGTAAAAGGGGGGCTGAGGTGGAGGCCATGTAACAGCAAGTCTCTGATCAGCCAAGCTGATGGTTTGAGGGTACTCTGTGCACGGGCTTGTAGACCATTTGCAGGCTTTTTTTCTGTATGCAGTGCTGCAACTTCCCCATGAAGTTTCCTGTTTGGGCAAAGAGGAGATCTGGACAGCTGAAAGAGAGAGAGAAAAAAAAAACCAAACCCACAACAAAAACCCAAACCTTTTTCCTGTCAACATCTGCTGGAAGAAAAAATAGTGGTTTTCTGAGTTACATTCAGACAACCTTCCTGTCTATAGGAGAGGACACTAATAATATTTAAAGCAAACTCATGTGGATTCCTACTGTAACTTCTGAAATTCTGCTTTCTATACATCCTACCTTCTATTGGTTTTGTTTGTCTTACAGCTACTGTCAAAGCAGTTCTTTACCTTAAATGCAGAAACATTTTATTCTCTAGCATTTATAATCTGCTGCAAGATTTGGTATTTGTTGATCCAAGGTTAAGATTCGTGATTGTGTTACAACTGAATTTGAGTAGTAAACTGACAATAAAACAAAACCATTGATTTTTCCTTCCAAACTGCTCCTTCCTCTCAGGGAAAAGTGACCATCAAGGGGCAGCAAATTTTCAGTTTACTGGGGCAAATGGAACACATACAAGGGGGGAGGAGGGTGAAGCCCTGGAGATGAGGACAGGGTCTCATGCCACACGTTTTCAGGAAGGCTGAAAGACTTACAGAAGAGGATATAAACAATCTCTCCCTCTCTTCCAGTTTCATTGACTAGTTAGGATGATGGGAAGAAATTATTTTAGCAGCTTGAATGCCAAGAAACTTGTATTTGATGAAAAAAACATGGGTACCCCTTAACAGGGTTTTCTTTACTATGTAAAATTCTTCTAAAAAGACAGAAATCTGAGATTTGCTAGTTGTTGCTTATTTCTTATTTCTTGATAGTTTGTTTTATTACTTAAGAATTAATACTATAAATTAGAGACATGGCAAGTGG